GGACCCAAAAAAAAACAACAAAACTTGGTAATAAAAGCCAGGCACCATGGGGCTGGAAATGTGGCTTAGTGATAGAGTGCTTACCTAGCATGAAGAAGCTCTGGGCTTGATTCCTCAGTACCACATAAAAAGAAAAAGCCAAAGTGGTGCTGTGGCTCAAGTGGTAAGAGTGCTTGCCTTGAGCACAGAGAGGCTCAAGGACAGTGCCCAGACCCTAAGTTCAAGCCCCAGGACCAGAAAAAAAAAAAAAAAAGCCAGGCACCAGTGGCTCACTCTCGTAATCCTATTCAGGAGGAGGAGATCTGAGGATCTTGGTTGAATCAGCCCTGGAAGGAAAGTCTGTGAGACTCTTATTTCCATCTAACCACCAGAAAATAAGAAGCGTGTGGCTCAAAGTGGTGGTAGAGTACTAATCTTGAGTGAAAAAGCTTTGTGACAGTTCAAGACTCACAACCAACAACAACAACAAAAAACCTTGATAATAAAAACAAATAAATCAATTAAAAATACTGCAAGGGAGCAAGGGAAGGGGTGACAATGTCCAAAGAAATGCACTCTTTACTTGAATTATGTAACCATAGCCCCTCTGTACATTACATTCATAATAACAATTTTAAAAAATTAAAAACAAATAGCCCTAGCATTTGCATAAACATCTTCTCCACAACAAGGACCAATATAGGCAATACACATTTTTTTTTTTTTTGGTTGGACGTGGAGCTTGAACTGGGCCTGGGCGCTGTCCCTCAGCTTTTCAACTCAAGGCAAGCACTCTGCTTGAGCCACAGCACCACTTCTGGTTTTCCGGTGGTTAATTGGACTTTCCTTGCCCAGGCTAGCTTTGAACTATGTCCTTAGATCTCAGCCTCCTGAGTAGTTAAGATTATAGGCGTGAGCCACCGGCACCCAGCTGGCAGTATACATTTTTTAACTACATTTCTCTACCTGATTATCCATAAAGTTTTGGTAATGTACAGTAGTTAGAAGATCTTGATGATTGTTTAGGGGGAACTCTCTTCTTGTTTCTGTATTTATCTTGATGTTTTCTGGCTTCTTAGAAGGTGTTGTCTAGAAAAAGAAAACCAATATATAACATAAATGGTCTAAGGAAAACAATATCCTCATGATATTAACTGAACTTTGTAAAAGATCTGGAATGATCTTAATGGGTTATTATAGCCTTATATAGAATAAAGGAAAAAAAATAGTTCTACTTCAAATGTACAAGCAAATCACAAATCAACATATGGGACAAAACAAGACTAGGAAGAAAACATGTATACTTTATTAATGACCACTGCCACCATTCTAGCTAATAGCCATTTAGAAGACTTATGACTTTACACCTGGCAATTTGACAGAGGCCAAGCAAGTATTATGTTCTACTCATATCCTCAAATCTGGAACAACCAGAGTAATGTCACTGAAGTATAACAAGGAAATAAAAGCAGAATTAAACGGGGTTCTATTTTGTTCTTTCTGGTTGGCAGATTCCCACTTCACACAAAAAATAAGATCTTTTTAAAAATTTCAGCTTGAAGGAAAAGACTTCGCAGTGATAAGAAAAATTTCACTAACTTCTTAGCTCATTCCCAATTATATGAAGTGGATCTGTTTCTGTTGTTTTGCTGCTATAAACAAACAAACACGTATTCTTTGGAATCAAGTCTGAAATCATTATCATCATAATAATGAATACATTTAAATGGCATCCTTGACATATAAAACTGGTTTGTACAAGGATGTTATTTCAGAATTAATCCTATTCTTTCTGAAAAAGCACCAATCAAAATACTGCTATAAAATAGCAATCTCTAGTACCAATCGTGTCTTCCTAACAGTATCCTGGAGTGAGCTTAATAGCCCAAACATGATAGGCATGAGAACTGTTAAGCCTCTGAGAACAACTGAGGTACAAAGAAAGGGTATTTCCATACTCACAACAAGATAACACTAGAAAAATGTAGCTTTACTGACTACAGGTAAGATTAATTGCCAAATAAGAATATACATCTCTATATATTTTCTTTTTTCTATTTAAATTATAAACTTTTAAATTATTATTAAGGAGGGATGTATTTATAGTTTGGTAAGCTAAATGCAAACATAAAGACAAAATATTCGGTGACCGTGCTGAGATACTTAAGGAAAACACAACATTATGTAACAGTGGTCCCCTAAGATTGTCACCTAATGACAAAGCCCTTAGTTTGCATTTTATTTACACAATGACAAAATCTGTTGGCACATATTTCTCTAGGCCATGTCCCTGTCACTAAGTGACACATAACTGCATATAATCTATGAAAGCCAGTGACTCATGCCTGTAATACTAGCTATGTAAGAGGCTGAGAACTGAGGATCTCAGTTCAAAGCCATCCTGGGCAGGAAAATCGGCCTGTAAGACTTTTATCTCCAATTAGCCACCAGAAAACTAGAAGTGGTGCTGTGGCTCAAGTGGTAGAGTGTTCACCTTGAGCTGAAGAGCTTAAGGACAGCGCCTAGGCTCAGAGTTCAAGCCCCAGGACCAACAAAAACACAAACAGAAAAAAGAAACTTGAATGCTAAAACTAAGTAACCACAGAACACATCTGAACTGAGCACCACTTTTGTGAACTCTGAATAAACAGGCACCAAAACAATGTCATTTACAAGTAAAGGTTTAAATAGCCTTTTAAGTCACCTCCATATTTAGATTCCAATTATTTACTCTAGAACTGGAGCCAAAAGAATTCCTTTATTTAAAAAAAAAAAATAGTGAGCTGGGCACCAGTGGCTCATGCCTGTAATCCTAGCTACTCAGGAGGCTGAGATCTGAGAATCACAGTTCAAAGCCAGTCTGGGCAGGAAAGTCCATGAGACTCTTAACTCCAATAAACCACTAGAAAACCGGAAGTGGCACTGTGGCTCAAGTAGTAGAGCACTCGCCTTGAGCTGAAGAGCGCAGGGAGAACGCCCAAGCCCAGAGTTCAAGCCCCACAACCAACCAAAACAAACAAAAAAATAAATAGTGAGGGGCTGGGAAGGTGGCTCAGTGGTAGAGTGCTTGCCTTGCATGCATGGGGCCCTGGGTTCAATTCCTCAGCACCACATAAGCAGAAAAAGCCTGAAGTGGAGCTGTGGCTCAAGTGGTAGAGCACTAGCCTTGAGCTGAAGAGCTGAGGGACAGGGCCCAGGCTCACAGTTCAAGCCCACGACTGACAAAAAAAAAAAGAATTAAAAAATAAAAAAGACAAAGAAATGTACTCATTATCTTGCCCATGTAAATGTAACCCCTCTGTACAGTATTTTCACAATAAAAAATAAATAAAATAAAAAAGACAAAGAGAAGAAAATTAAGGTCACCTATAATAATAAACTGATATAATCGGTATTGCCAGTGATACAGTTTAGTAGCAGAGCACTTGCATAGCATGCATGAGGCGCTGGGTTCAATACCTAGCACCACAGATATTTCTTGTTTGGGTTTTTGTTTTTTTTTTAACTGTATTTTTTTTGTCTTTTCTTTTTTGGTACTGGGGATCGAACCCAGGACGTTGCACTTGCTAGGCAAGCGCTTTGCCACTGAGCTACATCCAGCCCACCACAGGTAGAAATAACTTTTATTTAATAAATAAACTTTATTTTTTATTTGTGTGTGTGAGCAGGTTCTAAGGCTTGAACTAAGGGCTGAGGTGCTATCCCGGAGCTTTTCAGCTCAAAGTTAGCACTTTTATCACTTGAACCACAGCTCTACATCTACACCACAGCTTTTTGGTGGTTAATTGGAGATAAGAGTCTCACCAACTTTGTTGCCTGGACTGGTTTTGACTTGTGATCTGCAGATCTTAGCCTCCTGAGTAGCTAGAATTACAGGATGAGTCACCAGCACTTAGCCTCTCATGTAATTTATATCCAGACTTTTGTCTGTCTACATAGCATCCTCTCCCTAGCTCTTTATTTTGCTTTTTCTTTATAACACTACTCACTTGAAAGGCAGCATTTACTTGCATGTATATACATACATCTGTACTTGTACAGAAGAAAGAAATTCCCTACGAGATCATCGTCTGTATTTTCACCAATATAAAGTGCTATTTCTGGAACAAAATCTAGCAAGTAAACATTCTACAAATATATATATATATATATATATAAGACAAATATTAGATGTGTACAAATATTAGATATGTAGATATCACTTATCTATAATTTTATATCTATTCTCATTTAACCTTATGTTGTACTTTTCCCTAATTTCAGATTGTCTTTGAACATGGTACTTTTTTGCAACTGCTCTATGCGGATACATTATAATTTGCTCGAGTTTCCCCAACCCTGGGGAAGGTTATTTCCATTTTAAATTATACTATGGTGCAAATTGTTACCCGTATTTAATAACAGTGTATTGGAAATTAATTTACTTCTTCAATAGGAGATTTTTCTTTCTTTCTACCTTCTTCCTTTTGAAAATACTGATGTTGCTTTTATTTTTCCTAGTCCCTGCCTTATACTTACAGGACCTTAAGCTACTCTGCCAGCTCTTTTTTGAACTGGTTCTTTTTAAGATAGGGCCTCCTTTTATGCCCAAGCTGGCTGGATTATACTTCCCTGCATAGCTAGGATGACAGATACATACATATCACTGTATTGAGATAAAGTCTCCCAAAATTTTGTTTGCCCATGTTGGCCTCAAACTGTTACCCTTCGGATCTCATAAACAGCTAAGATTACAGGCTTGAGCCATCATACCCAGTCTACTATCTTTTTTTTTCCTTTTTGCCAGTCCTGGGGGGGAGGGGTTGAACTCAGGACCTGGGTGCTGTCCCTGAGTTTCTTTTTACTGAAGACTAGTGCTTTACCACTTGATCCACAGCTCCATTTTGGCTTTGAATTATGATCCTTACATCTCAGCTTCCTAAGTAGCTAGGATTACAGGTGTTAGCCATTGGGGCTAACATCTTTTTTTCACTCACCGTTTTAAAGGATGCCAGCTGGTGTCGTGCCTGTTTCATGGTTTGACTAAGCTGTCAGGGAAAGTTGGGGGAAAAAAAACAGAAACAAGTTAAAGTCTTAATACCAAATGGACTAAGCACCAGAAAATAAATCCCTATTATTTAAAAAAGCCAGATCTAAGAAAATTATTTGCAAAAGAGACTTTGATCTGCTGATAATGTTTTACCTTATTATTATTCTAAAATAACTTGATAATTTCATAACTTAAGAATTGCTACTGGGGCTGGGAAGGTGGTTCAGTGGTAGAGTGCTTGCCTTGCATGCATGAGGCCCTGGGTTCGATTCCTCAGCACCACATAAGCAGAAAAA